TAAATAAATATACTTAAAAGAAATACGTTAAGTATTAAATAAATCTATTAAAGTTTAAGTATTTTAAGTACTTATCTTCTTATTATATAATTAATTACGCGAAGAATTAATAGTTAAAAAGGTAAAAAACTTAATAATTAATAAATTTAATTACGTTACTTAAAAGAGAGAGAGAAGTAAGTTTAGTTACGTAGACACGAAGAAGCTTAAATTAAACTAAATAACAGATAATTAGATGTGAATTTACGCACTTTTACCCCTTTTTAAATATCCGGCTTAAACGTGTTCTTAGACGTGCTCTTAGCCCTATTTGAGGACTATTGCTTAGGAGGACCAACGAGAGTGATGTCAGCCATGGTCTTCTACAATGCCGTATAGACGAGCTGCTCCGGAAAGTAGAACGGCATACCAGAGGTATGAGGTTCCGTGAAATCGCTCTGCAGGTTGCGCATTTGGCCTGGAGCAGCCGAGGTTACCACCAACCTACGAGCACATGCTACTAGCAACAATACCGTCAATACCCTATGGTTTCAGGGCTGCCAGTAACAGCCCAGGTACGATGGCTAGTAGCCTTTAGCGGCTGGTAACCGCTGAAGAAGATGTTAGCGGCAGCGAATAGGTACTAGTAATTGCTACATTGCCGTTGCCAGTACCTAAGCGCTACTAGCAAATGCTATACGGCTGTTGCAGGTAGCCGTATGTGCTGGTAGCTTGCCAAATGCCGTGACTGGTACCAGGTGATGCATGGCTTCGGTCGTTACTGGCAGGCCCCGACCCTGTGCCTGGGCGGTTACCATCAGCGCCGTGGCAGGCTGATTGGCGGTTGCTGCCTCCTCTTGTGTTGCGATGCCAGGGTACCAGTCACGGCTTCCCCGGGCGCCAAACCACTCTAGTGACAATCGGTGCCGTAGTTTTCACAGCCTCGATTGACTCAGTCTCTCCTTTCAAGACAGGTTCGATGTCAAGGAATCGATTTCCAGACCTTAAGTGTAGCTCAGGCAAGTCCATAGTTGAACTTTAGACAGGCACGCATTAAATTCTGGGTGTGTTCCTGGATTTTTCTTGAGTTGTCGGGTAGGAACCAGTTTTTCGAGCGCATAATGGGAGGCACTCTACATATTCGGTTTTGGCAAGAAACCGTTGCCCCAATTTTGACCAACGGCGAGCTGATTGGCTGCCACGTTAGATCCGGGGCCCCGTAATCCCTTGATATGTTACTGGTACGGAAAGACGTCATGGCGGTGTGCTTGCATGCCCCTTCCCTGGTCAGCCATCCATGATGCAAAAGTACAATGGATTACCGTACCTTTTTGGTCGTATTATGTGAGAGAACGTGTATTGAGGCTCTTGACTAAGTACTTAAGTACCTTGGACGGGCGCTGGGGAGAGACCTGTAGTGGCTGTAGGCTTGCCTTGCTATTGGCTCCCACTGCATGTGTCTCATGTAAAGCTTTACAACAACAAAAAATCATGCTCTCCCCATAATCCGCTGGCTTCCCAACGTGCGATCCCTTTTCCTGTCGACCATGCCGCCAATGCCCTATCCATCGGATATTTCTTATCAGTCATGGTACGACGAGAAGCGTATTGCGCTTGGTCGCTCTATAGACCGCGCGGTAGAGCAGCTTAGGGAAATGCAGGCGGCCAACTCTACGTGGCCATTGTACTACCCTTCCTCGAAACCGCTTACGCAGCCCATAGTCGAACTTGACGACAACGACCACGGTGTTAATTCACTACCAACAGCGCCGGAGCTTCTCGTTTTGCGGTTGGACGTGAGATTCGGTGCTACTCATCACAATGAATTCGTTCAAAGATTGGGAAAGGATACCATTGCCTCGGTGTTGGAAGAGAAGATAACCATCTGCAGCCGACAGCTCCTAGCTTTGCGGGAGAGAATTAACGATCCATTGAGCAAGATCCTGGTGACCGGTGATGTGAACGCTGGGAAGTCGACGTTCTGCAACGCATTACTGCGTCGCCGCATTCTGCCTCAAGATCAACAACCTTGTACCGCCATCTTCTGCGAAGTGCTAAACGCCAAGAAGAACTCAGGTCTCGAAGAGGTTCATGCCGCCACTCCACAACACGACTTTGACGTCTTCGCTTTTCAGGACCTGGAGCAGGTCGTGACGGATGCCCGGTATACGCAGTGTAAGGTCTTCGTCAACGACCTGCGGACGGCGGACGAGTCTCTACTTAGCAATAATGAGGTGGTGGACATCACTCTTATCGATGCTCCAGGCTTGAACCACGATACCACTCACACTACTGCTGTATTTGCGCGACAAGAAGAGATCGATGTAGTTGTTTTTGTGGTTTCTGCTACTAATCACTTTACAATATCGGCCAAGGACTTCATCCAAGCTGCGACAGCTGAAAAGGAATATTTATTTATCGTTGTCAATGCATTCGATACTATTACGAATAAAGAACGGTGCAAAAAGGGCATTATGGAGCAGATTCGGCAACTCAGCCCGGCGACCTTCAAGGAATCATCTGAGCTTGTCCACTTCGTCTCCAGCAATGCTGTCCTTCGTCCAAGCTTGACGGCACAGGGCAACACTAACTCGAAATGCGAGAATGAGAACATGGATGAGGATAAGGTACGGGACTTTCAGCGTTTAGAAAGGTCGTTGCGTAAGTTTGTCCTCGAAAATCGTGCCAAGTCCAAGTTGGCACCGGCGAGAACTTACTTGCTCAATACCCTACATGATATCAATACGCTTGCTACCGCAACTGTCCAGGAAGCACAGTCTGAGCTCAGTCGCGCTTCTAAAGCTATGAACGATATCACACCCCAACTCGAGACTCAACAAAAGATTGTTGTTGAGGCAGGGCGCGAGATCGATACGATGATCGAGAACACATGCCTCGCGATTTTCGATCACAACCGCTCGACAATCGGCGACGCTATTGCCCATGCTGGTGATGAAGGTGGAAGCTATGACGTCGTCTACAGAGGACCTTGGACTGCCTTCGAGTACGCTGAGGAGCTCAAGGAGGCGATGTTATCACGCATAGTTGACGTTGTTATTCGGTGCGAGGACAATGCGCGCGCGCACGCCGCCAAGGGTGTCAGTGCCATTACTCAGCTCGGCATCTTGCACGGGAGGGGGACTAACGCTTTTGAGAACCTACAATTTCGACCAGCGGCTATGTTCTCTCGGAAGCGAGACTCCTTGGCTAGACAGGTCGATATATCCATCGAGCTGCAAGACTTCATCGACTGGCCGCGGCTGGTCTCGAGTGGGAAGTTTGCTAATGCGGGCATGGCTCTCACCCTCGCTACCGCCATAGGTAGCCGTTTGACAGACTTACACGGGTGGTTAAACCCAGCCTTGATGTTGGCCCGCAGTGTGGGTACTGACGGCTTCCGCCGGCTTCTCGTTTCAGGGATTTTGGTTACAGGTATGTAGTTGTTCTTCATTCGAGGCTAATAAAGCTGACCTGCACTCCAGTTATTGCCGCAGCTATCGGACACATCATGCAGCAGATTCCACACGCCGTTCCCCGACATTTGGCAGCTAAAGTCGCGGCACAGTTGTCTGCCATAGACTATGTATATGCCAATTCTGCCCGCATCACAGACAGGGTGCGTAGGGTTCTCCGGATCCCGGCTGAGGATGTGCGTGCTGCGTTGAATTCGTCCGTCCGGGATTTGGAGCAGCGGCGGGACGATATGGATAAGCTTCGTGACAAGAGCCACGCCGCGCTCAAGTGCTTTGGGAATATTGTGTGGGCTAGCGCCGCGGAGGAGAACACGGTCAAGGAGATTAACCTCGAAGCACCGCCTAGTTTTCCAGAGTGATAGCTATATGGTGTTTTCAGCTGTGCCTCCTGTGCCTACGTTTGTCTGGAAGTCAGACTTGTAATGTTATATCGCCGGTAACTTAGACTAGTATTATTGTACAGTACGGTAACCCTCTTAGTTAAGCTCCTTCATTTATTCGCCCGTAAGTGGAGTAAAGCAACTTCATTAATTTTATCCACACAGATTTTTGCACGCTGGTGAGTGGGGAGTAAGGCGGCAAGTACGTATTTTCTAGCTTAGAGTGTAATTCCCGGAATTAGGGTTAATCTTTTAACCTTAATTTTAACGTATAATTTAGTATAATATAAGCGCTAGACTTAAATTAATTAAATGTAACATATAAATTTAATTAAAGACTTAATATTTTATATAAACCTTTATTCATTTTTACTTATAATATATTAAGCTAATAAAGGTAACTTTAATACCTATAAAAGACTTAATTATTAAGATTTACGTGAAATCTTTTAAAAATTCTTTGTTAAAAATATTAATAATAGCTTCACGCTAATTTCTACTAATTAGAGTAACTAATATTCTTCTTTAACTAAAATAAGCTTATTGTTAATAGAAGGTTAAAATAACTTTACGTTAATTTTTATAATTAAGGTAATTAATATTCTTTATTTCAACGAAATAAGCTTATTAATTAGCTTAAATAATAGCCTAAATAACCTTCTAATATTAACTTTTTTAATTGATAATAACGGCGATAATAATTTAAGTCTCGCGATACGGCACGAAACGCTAAATAACCTACCTTACAAGGAGACTTAAGACATATAAGCCTAAAAAAATTACTATAGAATGGTATAAAGTAATATTTTTACTTTAAATTAGTAGAAAATATATTAACTAGAGTTAAAAAGTTAACCTTAATTTTTTAACCCTAATTCCGGGAATTATACCCTTAGTAATAGAGTATTAACAAGAAAACTACATTTTCAATTTTTAAAAAAGCTTATATAATTAATAATAAATCTAATAAAATACTTGAATTATAATAATAAGTACATAAAATAGCTAATATTCGCTCTGCTTAGCAAGCACCCAAGTAATTGCAATATTAACCAATTCCGTTTAGAGTGTTCTATGTGGGGTATTTCTACGTTACAAATATGTTCTTATCCGACGTTATTGCCATGCATATCGTAAACTCTTTCGTAAGCAGAAGTAGGGAAACTAAACTTCTTGTACCGCTGTTCCCCTTCTAGCTATTTATACTACCCTTACACTTTATTAACTCTCTTTAACTGTGATTCCCGGAATTAGGGTTAATCTTTTAACCTTAATTTTAACGTATAATTTAATATAATATAAGCATTAAACTTAAATTAATTAAATATAATATATAAATTTAAGTAAAGACCTAATATTCTATATAAACCTTTATTTATCTTTACTTATAATATATTAAGCTAATAAAGGTAGCTTTAATACTTATAAAAGACTTAATTATTAAGATTTACGTGAAATCTTTTAAAAATTCTTTGTTAAAAATATTAATAATAGCTTCACGCTAATTTCTACTAATTAGAGTAACTAATATTCTTCTTTAACTAAAATAAGCTTATTAATTAGCCTAAATAACCTTCTAATATTAACTTTTTTAATTGATAATAACGGCGATAATAATTTAAGGCTCGCGATACGGCACGAAACACTAAATAACCTACCTTACAAGGAGACTTAAGACATATAAGCCTAAAAAAATTACTATAGAATGGTATAAAGTAATATTTTTACTTTAAATTAGTAGAAAATATATTAACTAGAGTTAAAAAGTTAACCTTAATTTTTTAACCCAAATATATCTCTTTAATAAAAAGTTCTTATTTTCCTATATATTTATGCGTTTAATACCTATTAAAGGCTTATTATAGCTAGAGTATTAACTATAGTATAGTTTTATAGTTTTATAGTTTTTATGGTTTCAAATAGAAAAAATTATATTAAATCTAATAAAATACTTATAAGATTATAAGTTTTACGAATAAATAGTATAAATCTTCTACTATAAGCTAACATAAAAAAGTGGCTCCTTATAAGCTCTTATAAGCCTAGAACTGTAAAAACTACATTTTGTAGTTTTTATAGTATAGTGTAGTGTAATGTGTTTTTAGAAAATTACATAATCTAGTTTTTAAGCTTATAATAAGCTAAAAGGACCCACTTCTTTATGTGAGCTGATTGGTTATAATATTAGCTAATTTATGTATTTATTATTATAATTCAAGTATTTTATTAGATTTATTATTAATTATTTAAGCTTTTTTAAAAATTAAAAATGTAGTTTTCTTATTAATACTCTGT